CACACGGGTTTCCTAGCAACAGGCCCCGCCCCTATGCATGGATTGGTCCCCTAGAAGAGCTACGCCCCGCCCTTATGCATGGATTGGTCCTCTAGTAGAGCTAGGCCCCGCCCCTATGCATGGATTGGTCCTCTAGTAGAGCTAGGCCCCGCCCCTATGCATGGATTGGTCCCCTAGTACAGCTAGGCCCCGCCCCTAGGCGTGGATTGGTCCCCTACTACAGCTAGGCCCCACCCCTAGGCATGGATTGGTCCCCTACTACAGCTAGGCCCCGCCCCTGCTCACAACTAGGCCACACCCCTATGCATAGCTAGGCCCCGCCCCTATGCATAGCTAGGCTCCGCCCCTATGTACACTGATCTCCTAGCAACAGGCCCCGCCCCTAGGCACAGCGTGGTGTCTATACTAATAGAGCTAGGCCGTGCCCCTACACTCTGATTGGTCCCCTGGTAGAGCTAGGCCCCACCCCTATGCATTTCTAGACCCCGCCCCTCAGCACAGGTAGGCCCCACCCCTACGCACAGCGTGCTGTGTATACTAATAGAGCTAGGCCCCGCCCCTATGCACACTGGTTTCCTAGCAACAGGCCCCGCCCCCACGCACAGCGTGCTGTCTATACTAATAGAGCTAGGCCCCGCCCCTAACCATAGACGGGTCCCCTTAGCAACAGAACCAGGCCCCGCCCCTTTCGCCCAGCGTGGTCCCCTAGCAACCGCGCGGGGGGGGGGCCTGCGCGCCGTCTCCATAGCAACAGAGGCAGGCAGTGCGCATCCCCCCCGCCGCCAGCGTGGAGCGGGGACCATGGAGGATGATTCCCCAGACCGGAAGTGACGTCCTGTGGAGTCTGGTCGCCAAGGCAACCCACCCAGAGACCGGAAGTGATGTCCTGTGGAGAGTCTGGTCGCCCAGGCAACCCATCCAGAGACCGGAAGTGACGTCCTGTGGAGTCTGGTCGCCCAGGCAACCCATCCAGAGACCGGAAGTGACGTCCTCTGGAGAGTCTGGTCGCCCAGGCAACCCATCCAGGGACCGGAAGTGACGTCCTGTGGAGAGTCTGGTCGCCCAGGCAACCCACCCAGAGACCGGAAGTGACGTCCAGAGACCGGAAGTGGCGTCCAGAGCATCATGATTTAATAGGAAATCAATCATCTCGCTCATCCTTGGCCTCTTCTTCCTCCTGGGCTCTGGGGAGGGGCGGGGCCTGTGCTGGTGGGCGTGGCCAAGCAGCCAAGGAGGAGGGGGCGTGGCCAGGCAGGCGTGGGTGGGTGGGCGTGGCTAAAGGAGCCGGTGGGCGTGGCCTAGGGCTGCCCTGACTCTGTGGGTGGGGCCTGGTGGGCGTGGCCTCGCAGCCAGGTGTGGTGGGCGTGGCCTGGGAGCTGGTGGGCGTGTCCTGGTGGTGGGTGTGGCTTTGGGAGGTGGTGGGCGTGGCCTGGGGCATTCTTTTCTTGTAGGTGGAGCCTGGTGGGCGTGGCCAAGCACCCATGTCGCCGTGGGCGTGGCCTGGGTCAGTTTCCCCGCGTGGGTGGAGCTCGATGGGCGTGGCTAAAAAGCCAGGGGACACGGGGGCGTGGCCAGGGAAGCCGTGGGCGTGGCCTGGAGGTCCCGTGCGCGTGGGTGGAGCTTAGTGGGCGTGGCCAGCCCACCCTGTGGTCGTGGGCGTGGCCTAGGGGGATCGTCCCTCATAGGCTGAGCAGGGTGGGCGTGGCCTGCAGCCCCGTTAGGTTCCTTGGTGGGCGTGGCCTAGCAGCCACGGGGGGGTGGGCGTGGCCTGGGGCGTTCGTGCCTCATAGGTGGAGCCTGTGGGCGGGGCCTGGGGACGGTTGGAGGGCGTGGCCTCGCTGACCCTCGTGCTGGGCGTGGCCTGGCGGTCCCGTGCTGGGTGGGCGTGGCCTGGCGGTCCCGTGCTGGGTGGGCGTGGCCTAGGACACACTGGGCGTGGCCTAACGTTCCCTTGGGCGGCCGGGGGCGTGGCCTGG